GACTCAAAAAAAAAAAAAAAAAAAAAAAATAAAGACAAGATCGTGCTGTGTTATCTAGGCTGGCTTCGAAATCCTAGCTCAAGTGATCCTCCTGCCTTAGCCTCTCAAGTACATGTTCTTGTATGGACATGTATTTTCATTTCTCTGGGGTATTAACCCAAAAGTAGAATTGCTGGATCATATAGTAATTTTATGTATAGTTTTCTAAGTAATAGCCATACTATCTTCCACAGCAGCTGCACCATTTTATATTCCCACCAGCAATGCACAAGGGTTCCAGTTTCCCCACATTCTCACCAACACTCTTTATTTTCTGCTTTTTTGATTATAATCATTCTAGTGTTTGCAAATCAATAGCTAATTGTGGTTTTGATTTGCATTTCCCTGCTGCCTAATGGTGTTGAGCATCTTTTTATGTGATTTCTGGCCATTTGTCTATCTTCTTTGGATCTACTCAAATCCTTTGCCCACTTTTTAATTAGATTGTCATTTTATTATTGACTTGTAGGAATTCTTTATAAGTTTGGATATAAGTATCAGTTAAGTGATTTGCAAGTATTTTCTTCCATTCTTTAGGTTGTCTTTTCTCTTTTGTGATGGTATTATCTGCAACACGAATGCTTTTAATTTTGACTAATCCAGTTTATTGTTTTCCTTTTGTTGATTATGCTTTTAGTGTCATAACTTAGAAACCATTGCCTAACGTAAGGTCTTAAAGATTCACTCTTATGTTTCCTTCTAAGAATCTTTGTTTTAGCTTTTACATTTAGGTCTGTGATCCATTTTGAGTTAATTTTTGCTGTATTATGAGAAAGAAGTCAAATTGCAATTTTTCACATGTGGTTATCTAGTAGTGCCAGCCTTGTTTGTTGAAAAGACTATTCTTTTCCCATTGAAATAACTCATCCCTGTTTTATCATTCTTTTTAACTATGCTCTATTAGAGAAATACCTTTTTCTATTCTTTTCATAAAATGTAGATTTACCAAAATCAGAAGATTCATTTATGTGATGTTCTGTTGATTTGTTCACAGCCCAGCAGACCTGGTTATCCTAGCCCGAGGTCCAGTGAAGGATTTTATCCCAGTCCACAGCACATGGTACAGACCAATCATTACCAGGTATACTGGTCATTATAGATTTGAGTCTTTAGCACTTTTGAGATAGGGAGGTATATTGTGTATATTTCTGTTTTTTTAAATTTATATACTTATGAGTATGATTTGACTAGCAGAAAGCTAAGAAAATAAACACCCTAATTGTTGCCTGAGTGAATATTTTCTTGACACCCCATGCAGAAAAGCGTTCCTTATTCACTTAGTCTTTAAGAGGGCAGGACAAGCGCCTCCAGCAGTTCTTAGGCCCTTTCCCATCCTCTTGCTCTTATAATAAAGGGCAAGGTGAATACAGGGGGCAGCACTATGTGGAGGTGATACTGAAATGGGCAGTTTTTCTGGGTGGCAAAAATAAAATTCAAAATTACTTTAATAGAAACCAAATGAGATGTCATATGGACAAGTATGGAAAGTTTTAGACATACAGACAAATAACCCGTACAAATTTGAAAAGAGTATCCTTGAAAGAAAAAGACTTCAAAGTAATTTTTTTGTTTGTTTTTGAGGAAAAAGAATTAGGTTTTATTGAGGTATAATTTATAGTGAAACACACAGGTCTTAGTTTTAATAGGTGCGTACACCTGTGTTCCCATCCCTGTGTCAGAATCCAGAATATCTCTATCACTCCAGGAAGTAACCTTCTGCCCTTTCTTGTCAGTGCCAACTACTCTAGAAGCAAATGCTTTTCTCATTTCTACTACTGGAGATTCTTTTTGCCTATTCTAGAATTTTACAGAAATAGAATCATATAATGTGTGATTTTTAGGGTTTGGCTTCTTTTACTCATTGTAATGTCTGTGAGAGTCAAAGTCCTGTTGAGGGAGTTGGTACTTTCCTTTACCACCTCCTTCACAGAGTTATTGAGAGCATGATTTATTTTTATTTTCATTTTTAATTTTAAAGATGTGGAGTACAATTCAGGGTTAGGTATACAAATGTTCATTATACAGGTATCCTTGTTGATGAAGTGTGCCTTCCCATGAGAGCATGATTTATATTAAGCCATCTTGAGTCAATATGGACAAAAGTTCTTCACTGTTGGTACTAGGTAACACAGGAGAACGAAAGCCCTGTCTCTTACTAGAAAGAAAAGACCATACACCCCTGGTTGTCTAGAACAGTGAAACTGGATAAATTTCAGGCTGTCTACTGCTCCCAGGTTCTAATAACTAATTCTGAAGAGTGGAGCCCAAGAATACTACATTATTAATAAGCAGGCCCTGGTCGTTCTGATGCAGATAACTTGGCTATGTTTTACCTCATTAAAGAATTAACTGACAACCCTACCATATAATCCTAGCCTAATAGGCTATAGAAACAGTTACTCGTTCTGTTCTCTCTCTCTCTTGATTGAGAGAAGGAATCATATAAAGAAACTCTTATTTTCCTTCTGCCTTGAAATTTTTCTCCATGTCTAAACAAATATCTTCTCTCTATTTTAGTCATTGTTAGACCTTGAAAGTATGACTTCTCACCATCAGTCCCTAGTTTTATAGAGGACACACTTTTTTAGCAGGGATGGATTTTTTGGTTATTCTTCTTGGGCGGGGGTCGATTGAACAGGAAAGGAAAGTTCTAGAGTGGAGCATGGCTTAGCCATTTTTGTGGCTTCCTGTTGCTTCAGTATCCAGGAATGGGCTGCTCTTAGCATGTCTATAAAATGTGGAATTCCAAAGTAAATAATTTCGTATTTTCTAGTAAATATTTTCTTTACTTGTCTAATGCAGCCATAACAAATTACCTTTCTTGAGGGTTTAGTTGAGAATCTATTTCCTTGCCTTATCAACTACCATAGACCACCTACATTTCTTGGTTCACGGCCCCCACACTCCATGGTCAAAGCCAGCAATGTTAGAGCTCTCTGACCATTCTTCAGTGGTAATCTTTCTCCTCTTCCACTTCCCTCTTGTAATTTTAAGAATTTGTGATTATACTGGATCCACTCAGATAATCTAGGATGATCTCAGGTCCCTGATATAAAGTCACATCTGTAAAGTTTCTTTTTACCATATAAGGGAACATAGTCATATGTCCAAGAGAATAGAACATAAACATCTTTGGAGGGCCATTATTCTGCCTGCTACAATATTCTCTGTAATTTTAGTTACTTTGTTTCATTTGTAAAACAGAACTGTGCAGAAGTTATATCGTGGGCTGAACATTACCCTGCCTTCCAATTCATTTACAGGTTTCTGGCTACCCCGGTTCACATGGAATCACAGCCATGGCTGGCAGCATCTACCCAGGTCAGGCATCTCTTTTGGACCAAACAGATTCATGGAATCATAGACCTCAGGAGATAGCAATGTGGCAGCCCAATATGGAGGTAAACTGGTTGTTCTTGGGCTTCAGTTTGTTACTTTAGGAAGTGTGACTTAAGGTATCATCTATTTCTACATCCTGAGATTTCTTGATTTTGATGACTTACTTCTGAAATCATGATACCCCATCTACTGAAATGCTTTCTAATTTTGTGAATTTTTTTATCTTAAAGAAACACTCAAGAAGAAATACTACATTTATTTGAAAGGCAAAGCTGTAAACTGAATATAATTATATCCATGAGACCAAAGAAAAAACAGGAAGACAGAGCCCTTTAGTTTTGTGAACCATGTTAATTTTCACTAAATTTTCCTGGTAAAATCAAGAACTACTCCATACTAATATTTACCATATTATTAAAAATTATTTATTTGAGCCAAGAGCGGTGGTACACACCTTTTGTCCCAGCTGTTAGGGAGGCTGAGGTAGGAGGATCGTTTGAGGTCAGCTTTTTTTTTTGAGTCAGAGTCTCATTCTGTCACCCAAACTGGAGTGTAGTGGCACAAACACGGCTCATCATAGCCTCAAACTCCTGGGCTCAGGTGATCCTTTTGCTTCAGCCTCCCTAGTAGCTGGACTACAGGCACATGGCACCACACCCAACTTTTTAGTTTTTTTGTAGAGACAAGGTCTCACTATGTTGCCCAGGCTGTTCTCAAACTCCTGGACTCGAGCAATCCTCTTACCTCGGCCTTACACCTGGGATTACAGGTGTGAGTCACTGCACCCAGTCTCATCTCTTTGAAGAAAAAAAAAACGTATTTGAATCAAACAGCGTCTGTAGTTGTCTGCTATTTGTGTCCTTTCTCCTGGAGTAAACATGTTTCATGACGGCTTAATACTCTATAATACGTTATCATAGTTAACCTTCTGTTATTTTACTTTCAGATTGTTTCTATTTTTTTCTATAGGTAACAGTGCATGTTTTGCACATATCTTGGATTATTCTTTAGAATAGACCCCTTACAAGTGAATTGATGAACCTAACAATTGCATATGTGTTCAAGATGCTTAACACAACCTCCAGAAAAGTTATTCCCACAGGCACAGTATAAGAGACTGTTTCTACCACCTTTGCTATTTTGCTCATCTTTTTTGAAAGGCACATCAAGTAAGAGCATATGAATAGATTTATGAGACTGGACGTGCTGTTTTCAACCCCTCTTACAGGACCCTGCAGCATTGGACCTGCGAGGAATTGGACAGGTTTTGCCAACCCACCTGATGGAAGAGCGGCTGATTCGACAGCAACAGGAAATGGAAGAAGATCAGCGCTGGCTGGAAAAAGAGGAGAGATTTCTGGTAATTGTATTTCAGAAAGATATGTACCACTTTTCAAGCCCTGTTAGAATCTAGTACACTCTCTCAATTTAGTATATTACAGAGGATTGCAAAATGTCATCTTTACCAAAGCAGGAGTTAGTTTTTACATCTAATCGCTACAATTTGCAATAGTGGGTTATTTGCTTTTCTTGACTGCTTTTTAAGAATAAATTTCTAGTAGTGGCATTTCTTTGATTTTTGTATTACTATATTATTTATATAGAAACAACTCCCACTTAAGTGTCGGCTTGCACATAAAACGCAGCTGCTGCGGCTGTGTAATAGGACAGCTAAGATTTGCCTTCCTGGCATTCCTGACTGTATGAACCTCCTCCCGGATGTGTCTGGACTTATGGATGGGAAATGTCTTTCTTCAGGCAATGCTTGTTGACAGCCCCCTTCAGAAGTCCCTTGGGGACAGAGAGGAAGTGGTGGGACAGAGCAATCTCTGTGTGTTACTTGACACAAAGGTCCTTTTAGACTCATGGCCCCTGCTGCCAAGCATTTCTTTGCCGTCAACCTCAGAACTAGGGCCTGTGAGAACTCACTCCTCACTCTCCTTGAACCCTGAAAGACTACCTCAGTTTTCCTGAAATCGCCTGAAAAGAAACATGGCTAAAAGGAGTCAGGGTTCATTCTGTTTCCATAAAATCTTGAGCCAGTAACTATATTTGATCCCCCATACTTTGATTCAGCAAATAGTCACTGTGGAGGGATAGGATATAACCTCTGTTTTTATATTACTTCAAGTCTTATAGGCACAGAAACATTGGATCAACAAATATTGTTATTATATTGAGTGATTTCAAAATATATTCTACAGAATTCATCAACATGTGATTCTAATTCCATTCTCCTTTTTTTGAGTTGGAGTCTTACTCCGCCTCCCAGACTGGAGTGCAGTGGCATGCTCACGGGCACCCCAGCGTCGACCTGCTGGTCTCCAGCAATCCTTCCACCTCAACCTTCCAGGTAGCTGGAACTACAGGCACGCACTATCACACTCAGCTAATTTTTTATTTATTGTAGAGATGAGGTCTCGCCTAGTTGCCCGGGCTGGTCTCGAACACGTGGGCTCAGGCAATTCACTTGCCTTGACTTCCCAAAGTGCTGAGATTACAGGCTGAGCCACCAAGCCCAGCCTAATTCCATTCTTTATATTGGCTTTTATTTCTTATACTGTAGTTTAAAATTCAAGCAACTTACATACTCACGTTTGATGAAGCACATGTTAACGTATTAGAGATGGCCAGTGCATTAAGTTGCGCTCAGTACAGTACGTGTTAAGGCTGACTTCAGCAAACCTGCTATTTTGGTGCACATATGAGAACATGGAGTAGATCACACTAGGAAGGAGCTCTTTCTCACCTATTCTTTCTTAGGACTCAAGTGTCACACCTGCATCACATTTAGGTCACTGCCAACCAAGACTGATGGGCCCTTACTTAACGCACACACTTTCCACTGTGGAACAGGGAGAGCACAACAGTAAACAAGAGTAACTGTTTTGCTGACATGTATAATATTTGCCCCACGGCAGTCACCATCCTATACATTTCATCTCTAAAGTCATTCATAACCACCTTATGAGGAAGGGACAGATTGAAAATTCTGTGTTCAAACCACTTGAGGGCCTTGTGTGTTTCAGAATTCATTTTTTTAACCCAGAAAGTTAATGTAACATGATGCACATCATATATTATATAAGATTCCAGTAGCTTCCCAGAGTTACAACCACTAATATTTCTACAGGAAAATACAAATATTCCCATTAACAGGCAAATAAAGATAATGAAACTCCTCACATTCATTGAGGTCAGCTTTTACTACCAAATTAGTTTGCTTCAAACTTAAAAAACAAACTTACCATTTTCAGCACTATTTAGATTTTGTAAATGAGGATAGAGTAATGTGGGCCTATCCCTTTATGTTTCTCATTTTACAGAGGAAGCAGTAGAGACATAGATAGAGTAAGGTCACACAGCGAGTGAGTGGCAGATCCAAAATTCAGAACCAAGCAGCCCAGCTCCAGGGTCTGTGTCCCTAACCACTGTACTATGCTTTCTTCTTTACATGTATTTACACTACAATTATATAAAACATTAATGTTTTAGTGATTCACCTTTGGAACTGTTATCCTATGCTTTCAAAATTCTCAGTTAAATTAAAGCAAACCTTGAGATTATAAGACAAGTTGCAAAACATGTATTACTACTATTCGTATTTACTACTATTCGTATTTACTACTACTAATCTGGATGAATCAATTTGAATATTATATCTAGTCTAAGAATATATCTATTATTCCCTTGTCCTGCATGTTAAACTCTTTTGTCTAAACAAGTCACTTTTCCCAGGCAGCACTGATTTGTATTTTTAAAAGTATATGTTATAAATTCTCCAAACTAGAGTTTGTATTTCAGTCCCAATGTCCTGTGTATGACTGCATCTGAATAAATGGTGGAATGCCAATGTTGCAATGCTGCTCTGGTAAAAGAGAACGTGCAGCCAGAGCAGAAGAGGCTCTGCATATAATTAGAGGACGATGGGGGAGGCAGCAGAGCCCAGATAACATTTCACCAAGGCTTAAAGGAGACACTGGAATTTGCAGAGCAAACAATCTCAGGAAATAGATTCCAGGCAGAGAGAAGAGCATGGGTAGTGACGTGGGGTCATAAGACTGTATTCTAGCTGGATACTTCTGTATTTTCAGCTACTCAGGAGGCTGAAGTGGGAGGTGACTTGAGCCCAGGACTGGGCAACCTAGTGCCCAGCCTGGACAACCTAGTGAGACTCCCATCTCTAAAAAAAAAATTTTTTAAAGCTAATAATAAGCCCTGAAGGAGTGGAGGGCTAAGTGCCCCCAGACTCCTACTATGTATTATCTAAAATGTCTAATTTTCAACAAAAAAATTACAAAACTGTACACAAAGAACAGGAATGTGTGAATGATGCACCAAAACAAGAAGGGGGGAAAAGACTGTATTCTAAGAACTCCCTGTAGCTAGATGTGACCAAAGCAGAGCTTGTTCATGGGGAAGTAGAGAATGAGTTGAAGCACTCAGTCTGTCTTCCTAGGGATTTCAAATATTCTAAACAAAAGGCCCAAGATGTGCACATGCTGCTGGCTGGCCAGGTGTTACTGAGTTGTTTAAATATGATGAATTGCACAGATCCTAAATATACAGTTTGGTGAGTTTTGATAAATGTGTAAGCCCATGTAACCCATACGCTATACATAGACCATTTTCAGCACTCCAGATAGCTTCCAGATTATGTTCATAATTTACATAGAAAGTTGTGTGAATATCCCATAGGGATTCTGCTTAGTGCTGTGTTAAGTCTGCATAACACCCTAAGTGCTTTGTCATCCTCAGTGTGTTTCTCTTCCTAACTCAGGAGACAGATGTTCCCGGAATTTGTTTTGTGACTTCCTTGATTTCTTTCTTATACTTTTCATAATTTTCTTTAAATACCTATCTTATCTCCCTTATTAAACTACTAACCAGGCCGGGTGTTATGGCTCAAGCCTGGAATCTCAGCACTTTGGGAGGCCAAGGTAAGGGGATTGATTGCCTGAGCCCATGGGTTCAAGAACAACCCGGGCAACTTGGCAAGACCTCATCTCTACAATAAATCAAAAAATTCCTTAAAAAATAAAATAAAATAAACTACTAACCATTCATTAAGAACTTCCACTATAATGGAACCTCATTGTTATTTAACTTTTTAGCTGTGTAATTCTGTCTGTGCCAATGTAGTTGGCTTTTAGAAATTTATCTTTTATATTCTAACAATTTATCATATAAAGTCTTTTGGTCTCATTTCCTTGGATTTTCTGAATACACAGTTGTGTCACTTTTTAAAAATTTTTCTTTATTTTCAGTATTTGCATACCTTCTTTTCTGAAGCATCTATTACCATCTTTTGTAATTTAATATTGATTTTCATGAGAATGATTGATTTATTGTCATTATTGATCTCAATGTCAAAACAATATTTGTTTCCTAGATGAGTTGAATAATCTCCAACTCATCTTTGATTTGAGTATTTGCCTTCTAGTCATCCTTATTTGTCTGTTTTATCAGCACATCAAAGTCAGCATGTCCACAACTGTATTTGTAATGTTCCATAGCAAAGTTGTCTCTCCTTTTTTATTTTCTACGCCATTTCCCTGATTCCCCCAAGATAGAAACAGAAGTACTGTTCTTTCTATATTGTCACAGTCATTGACTGAGTCACCAAATCCTGTTAGTTCTAATTCTTAAATATATTTTTATTCTTTCCTCTGCTGTCTCTCTTTCTATTGTCCAAGTCCAGCCATGCTCACATCTCACCTGGACCATTTCAGCCTTCTTACTGACCCATCAGGTCACTGTGAAAGCTGTATGTCAGGAGTCTGTTAGGGTTAGGGTTGTGTTTTTTGTTGTTTTTTTTTTTGAGTTGGAGTCTCACTCTGTTGCCCAGGCTGGAATGCAGTGGCACACTCATGGTCACCCCAGCGTCAACCTGCTGGGCTCCAGCGATCCTTCCACCTCAGCCTTCCAAGTAGCCAGAACTACAGGTGTATGCTACCATGTCCGGCTAATTATTTTTTTTAATTGTAGGGACAACGTCTCGCCAGGTTTCCCGGGCTGGTCTCAAACTCACAGGCTAAGGCAATCCACTCACCTCGGCCTCCCAAAATCCTGGGATTATAGGCTGAGCCACTGAGTCTGGCTTGTTCTCTTCTCTTTCTAACTGATGTACACAAATGTGAAGTCCACAGTTCATTGAATTTTGACAGTTGTATGTACTCCAGTAGCTGCCACTTAGACCCATCTGTAGAACATCTCCATCAGCCCAAGGTGAACATGTGTCTTAGGTTGGCTTCCCCAGAACAGACCCTGAGGTGGACATGTTCAGGCAGCAGGTTTATTGGAAGGGTGAGAGAAGCAGGGCTGGGCCCACTGAGTCAGGGGAACTGGGCCTTTATCGCC